GGGTGCCTATCACTAGCCTGTAAAGAGAGAACCATGCTTGAGACGCCAGAGACTGGTGGAGGCAGGGAGCTGACCCCCAGTGGGCAGAGACAAGGCTCCCTTGCTCTAGCAGCAGATGCCTCAAAACTCCCGGAAAGTGGGGGTGAGGGACCATATGTGGGGGCCAGCCAGGATGTCCTTGCTGCCTGAAAACCAGAGGGTGGCAGGGCCACCATCTTAGCCTTGGCTGTGTCGGGGACTGGGGAGCTGGCCACCACGAAGCTGCGTCGCTGGCAACACCATAAGCATGAGCGGTAGAACAGATCCGCGAGGACTCTGGAGGGCCTCACACGCACTTTATGGGCTAAAGAATAGCCAGTCAGAGTCTCTTCTTAAGACATGTCATAGAATTGCATTTTCCTGAACCAATCAGGATGTGTCAAGAGGTGCGGTTATTGATAAAACATTCACCTCTCTTGCTGAGTTTAACGAATAACGAATAAACAACAAGCACTGTACGTTAGCTGTTGTATAAACAGACCTGCCTCTAAAATGATTGTGTTCGTTTGGTTTTTAAAGTTTTGCCTAAATGAAACCTGCTCTAAAAACGTATTTCTGTAAAGTTAGATTTACACACTATATACAAAACTCATACACAGTCTCACTTAAAAGAAAAAACAGCATATATAAAACTGTTGATAACACATTTTACCAGAGATAAGAATGCCCTTTCTCCTCCACACCATTTTTCTTGACTAACTTTTTTAAAAATCTAAATGCCATGAAACCAAGTAAAGTTTTAACAAATAAACTTTTAAAACACCAATGAAAAGGTGCATGTGTGTAGATTTCTTTATTTCCCAAAGGTATGTAAATTTAGCAGACATCCTTATTTCATTTGACTTTTATACCAGGAATTAAATTACCTCTTTTTACATAAAACCTTTAGCATTTGTCTTTAAAAAGGGTAGAAAGCCCCTCATGAAAGTTATGCCTAACCTTTATACCAATTTCCCTTATTCCATTAACTTAAAGTAATGTATTTTTATAGCCTTTGATATTTATTGGAAATCAGACCACATTGACTTTAGCTATAAGGAGACTTTTAATTTAAACTTTTTAAAGCACAGGATATCCTTTATAAAGTATGAAGATTTGGGGGGTTAATATAATACCTTGCCCCAACATATACAATAAAAAAGAGAAGCAATAATTCTGTAACTGCATGAAAGAGGGAGATGCAGATTGGCCTTTCTCTCCCGTCAGCAAAGAGAAGATTTTCTGAACATTTAAAGCGTAGGGGGACATGTCACTATAGATAACCCATATTTACATAAGTGCACGTTTCAATAAAAAGTGAAGTTTAAAAAGACAGAAGCCCTGTGTCAATATGGATGAATGAGTAATTAGTAAGGAGAGAGATGAGCATGTGGCATATTTGAAGCAGCATGTTTCCCTGCTGTCATTTACAGAGCAGTTTTACAAACAAAACATAAAATTTTAAAAAGAGAAGTCTGTAACGATGCTGCCTCTGGCAGGACACTTCTGAGAGTATCAATTCAGGACAAATTGCTTAGAGCAGGGCAGTTACAGCCCAAAGCTGGGGGTCCTTTACTATTAAGGCACCAAACCAGCGAAACAGAGATGACTTCAGTCTCACCCCACTGACTAACCATAAGTCATACAAGCAATTCCCTTAGACACTCCAGTTTCCCAGTATCACCACCAGTGACACTTGTTATGGGGATGAATGGTTATGAAAACCAAAGCCCCAGTAAAAAAATAAAGGTTCTCCTCATCCCAAAGGACCAAGCCCCAGACCCAGGTCAATATACAAGTCAGATCTTATCCACAAATCACACTGTTGCCAATCCTTTAGAATCTAAAATCTAAAGGTTTATTTATAAAAAGAAAGAAATACAGATGAGAGTTAAAATTGGTTAAATGGAATCAATTACATACAGTAATGGCAAATTTCAGAGTAGCAGCCGTGTTAGTCTGTATCCACAAAAAGAACAGGAGTACTTGTGGCACCTTAGAGATTAACAAATTTATTAGAGCATAAGCTTTCGTGGACTACAGCCCACTTCTTCGGTATGCATCCGAAGAAGTGGGCTGTAGTCCACGAAAGCTTATGATCTAATAAATTTGTTAGTAATGGCAAAGTTCTTGGTTCAGGCTTGTAGCAGTGATGGAATAAACTGCAGGCTTAAATCAAATCTCTGGAATATCCCCAGCTGGGATGGGTCATCCAGTCCTTTGTTCAGAGCTTTAGTTTGTAGCAAGGTTCCTCCAACAGTAAGAAGCAGGACTGAAGACAAAATGGAGGGGTTTCAGGGACCTTTTATATTCTCTGCCCTGTGGAAGGACACCCCTTTGTTCTCACTGTGGAAAATCACAGCAGCAAGATGGAGGTTGGAGTCAAATGGGCAAGTCACATGTCCATGCATGACTCAGTTCTTTACAGAGGGCAACCATTGCTCACATGCTACCTTGAAAGTTCCCAGGAAGACTTCTTGTGAGGATTGGAGTCTCCCAAGGTCCATTGTCAGTTAAGTGTTTCTTGATTGGGCACTTAATTTGCAAATTCCTTTCTCAAGAAGCTGACCAAATGCTTCACTAATGCTACTTAGAATCAAACACATTGAGATACAATTACATAGCCAATGTTCATAAGTTCAACTACAAAAATGATGCATGCATACAGACAGCATAATCATAACCAGGAAATCACAACCTCTTCCTACTCATCTCACATGACAACCTTTGTACAATATTTGCTGCAAATATATAACAGTGGTTGCAACAATGATCTATACTGTCAGTTTTATGTCAATAACATCAAAAAGTCATACTTTTGTAACTACATGAAAGAGGGAGATAAAAATTGGCCCCTTTTACCCTTGTTATCTAAATAAACATGTCCTACACATCCACTCCTCTCTGTTGCTAAACAGACAGCTTTTCATCCTATCAAATAAAGTTTAAAAAACAAACTTTTAACATGTAAAACAAGACGGAGGATAAGAGATCTGGCCTAGATTTCAGGGGGATATTGATAACCAAGAAAGCTTTTTCAGTGAAAATTTTGTAGGTCACCATTCATTATTAGTTGTCACGGGCAAGCGTTTGTCATACAGCATCACTTTCCCCCGCTATGGGGCATCATTTCCCCCATTCAGTGGACTACACCAGATAAATACAGACATCGAGGGATTACACGCTTGGAGATATTTTGTAGCAGTAAAGCAACAATTACTTTCTTTGTTGTTGTTTCTGACTTTTGTTTATCCTCACAGTCAATGGGCCCTAAAGGATTATTTTCTGAGAAGTGACTGAAAACAGACTAAAGCCCTGGAGCAGAGGGCCTGGGGGAAATCAAAAGGCAGAGCTGAAGTGGAAGAGTGCAAGATCCAAGTGAAGATTTGTAGAAGAGGGTTGGGGAGTTGAGTGGTTCTGGACTACTTTGCAATGGCTCAGCCACCCTACAACCTATATTCCTAACCACAGGCACATGGGGCCCCTTGCTAGAGACACAGGCTGTCCACAGGCGTTTTGTAGTTGACACACTGTGACTGAATGAGCATAAAATATCAAAATAATATAAGGGTGTGGCCTACTGCCCTCCTGCCAACCCCACTTCCCCAGAATCTGGAGCACAGACAGAAGTTTCTCCTTACCTAGCGATAGGGTGAACGTACGTCTGGGTTTTCCCAGATATTTCCTCTTTTTTGATCCTCCGCCCTCTGTCCTGGTGGATTTGTCAGATAAGAGGCAATGTCCAGAGTTTTTGTGAGCCGAGGTCACAACTCAGACGGAACTCTGATTGGTCCCTTCCCTGCAGCCACAGCAGCCGGATCCCACCACGGATGGCGGAATAGGGGGGCCACTTTTGACCAGCTGTAAGGATGAGTGACAAGGAGAGGGGAGAAGGGGCTCTGTGAGGGTGGGGGCTCTGGGGAAAGGGGCAGTGTGAGGGCAGGGGTTCTGGGGGAAGGGGCGGTGTGAAGGCAGGGGCTCTGGGGGAAGGGGCGTCCCCAGCTCAGCGTGTGTTGGGCACAGACAGACAGACAGGGCCTGGCGTATCGGACACAGGCAGACACCCGTAGTCAGTCTCTCCCCATAGCTCATCTGCATGTTGGGGTGGTTGCTTTGTGGGGAAGGAGCCGGCTGTCCCTGTGCACCTGGCAATGGTTCTGCAGATCACACCACATGCTGTCTGCATGGCTGGGCACAGGCTGCTCAGGGATGGGCATGGGACCTGCACCAGGGAAAGCTGGGGAGGGGAGGGGGGACAGAGCAAAGGAGCCTTCCAAGGCAGCTGGGGAGGGTAATGGGGGAGCTGAGACCTCCAGCCAGCAGCCGCAGCCCCCGGACGAGCCCCATCAGAGTTCCCACAGCCCAGGCAGCTGGCAGCTCTGGGGCTGCTCTGTGCAGGATCCCACCGGCTGGTCTCTCACTGCAGGCGGAGACCAGCCCAGCCCGGTGGCATGCGGCTCTCACAGCATCTTGCTGTCGGGCTCCTCGGTGGACTCTGGATTTGCTGCTTCCTGAGGCCAGGCTGGGGTCCCTGGAGCCCACAGCTCCTCCATGTGCACATGGCCTGCAAGCAAGAGGACAGGGTGAAGTGCCCGGGCTAGGGTTGCCAACTTTCTAATTGCACTAAACTGAACACCCTTGCCCCACGCCCTGCCCTGAGGTCCCACCCCTCCCCCTTCTCTGAGGCCCCCCTCCCTCCATCGCTTGCTCTCTCCCACCCTCACTCACTTTCACTGTGCTGGGGCAGGGGATTGGGGTGTGGGAGGGGGTGAGGGTTCCAGCTAGGGGTGTGGGCTCTGGGGTGATGCCCGAAATGAGGGGTTCAGGGTGTGGGAGGGGGCTCCAGTCTGGGGCAAGGGGTTGGGGTGTGGGAGTGGGTGAGGGCTCTGGGATGGGGTGAGGGATGAGGGGTTTGAGGTGCAGGAGGGAGCTCCAGGCTGAGGCAAAGGGATTTGGAATGTGGGAGGGGCTCAGGGCTGGGGCAGGGGGTTGAGGTGCGAGTGGAGGTGTGGGGTCTGGGAGGGAGTTAGGGTGCAGGAGGGTGTTCAGACCTGGGGGAGGGGGTTGGGGTGTGGGTGCAGGCTCGGGGAGAGAGGTTGCAGGATGGGGTTTTGATCTGGGACAGGGGGTTGGGGGTTCAGGCTCCGGCCAGGCACCGCTTACCTCAGGAAGCTCCCAGCGGCCTTAAGGCAGGCTCCACGCTGCTCCTGGAAGCAGCCAGCATGTCAGGCCCTGAGGCAGAGGCAGAGCCACCAGGTGGCTCTGAACGCTGTGTGCTGCCTGCGCCAGCAGGCACTGCCCCCACATCTCCCATAGACCTTGGTTCATGGCCAATGAGAGCTGCGGTGCCAGCGCTGGGGACAGGGGCAGCATGTGGAGCTTCCCTGATCACCCCTGTGCCTAGGGGTCACAGGGACATGATGGCCACTTCCAGGGAGCTGTGCAGATCCAGGGCAGGGAGGAGGCCTGCCTTAGCCCCGCTGTGCCACCGACTGGACTTTTTATGATTCCAGTCAAAAAACCGATGCTTGGCAACCCTAGCCCCCTCCCAGCCCCCCCTCACCCAGCATCCCAGGGCACATTGTGAATGGGACCCACTGCCAGGGCAGGGCTGTAGGGACGGGGCACCCGCAGGCTGGGACACTGGGCCTGTGCATGGCAGTCAGAGCTGGGACCCCAGCAGCTGTGAGAGCAGAAGGTCCCCATGCAGGGAGGCAGCCCAGGGCATGAACAGGGCACTGGGTTGCAGCTCAAGGATACTGGGCTGCAGCTGGGGCTGGATTCCTGGGTCAGGACGGCAGGGCAGCCCTTGTCCCAGGCCCCCCTTCCCCTCCCCTGCGGGGGTTCAGGGCTCTTACCCAGGGAGTTCCCAGCAGCTCTGTTCCGACGCATCCTCCAGCAGAGCAGGACCCCGCAGATCAGCACCACGACGGCACCCAGGCCGAGGAGCACATAGTAGAGTAGCCCAAGGCCTGGGGATAAAGCCAGACTATGAGCTGTGCCCCATCTCTGCCCCACAGCCCTTGAGACCGACTCCATCTCCACACACAGCCCCCCGCCAAGGCTGACTACCTGCCTTGCCCCATAACCTCTATGGGTGACCATACATCCCGTTTTGTCCAGGACAGTCCCTTTTTTAAGCCCTGTCCCAGCCGTCCAGACTTTTTTGGCAAATGTGGGCATTTGTCAAAAAGTGGGGTGCAGAGGAACATTGGGGGGCAGGCAGTGATGCCAGACCCGTGCAGGGGGAGTGGCAGGTGTCAGGTGGGGGGCAGGCAGGGTTCGGGTGGGTAGCGACACCAGCCCCAGCCTGGCATGAGGGGGCAGGCAGGACTCGGGTGAGTGGCTCGGAGCAGCCCTGCAGGGTTGGGGAGGAGGGCTTGGGCTAGCCCCATGCAGTGTTCCATTTTCCCTTTGGGAAATATGGTCACCCTACCCCAGGGTCCCCCACAGCCAGAGGCAGATTTAGATTTCCTGGCACACTGGGCCAGAGCAAGCGGGGGCACCTCCCTACCACTTTTGCCTGCAACCCCGCTTAGGGCCCCATCCCGTTCTGCTTCTTCCCCCACAGCCCTGCCCTTGTTCCACCCAAAGTCCTGACCCATTCCACCCCTGCACTGCGGCTCCACAATCCATTTGCTCCTCTCGACCCCCCTCCCCACTGCAGCCCCAAGGCCGGAGAAGCTCTGTCCCCCCTGCCAGAGTCCCAGGGCTGCAGTGGGGAGCGAGCACTCCTCCAGTCCCATGGCCGTTGTGGTTACCAACTTCCTACTCACACAAAACTGAACACCCTTGCCCCACCCCCTGCCCCGCTCCTCCTCTGAGGCCCTGCCCATGCTCCACCTCTTCTCCAAGGCTCCGCCCCCACTCACTCCATCCTCCCTCCCTCCATTGCTCGCTCTCCCCACCCTCACTCACTTGCTCATTTTCACCAGGCTGGCTCAGGGGGCTGGGGTGCTGGGGGGGCAGTACAGGCTGTGGCTGGGGGTGCAGGCTCTGATGTGTGGCCTGGGATGAGGGATTTGGGGTGAAGGTGGGGGCTCTGGGCTTGGGCTCAGGGGTTCAGAATGCGGAAGAGGGCTCCGGGCTGGGGCAGGGGGTTGGAGTGCAGGGGCGGTGTGGGATCCAGCTGGGAATGCAGGCTCTGGCGTGGGGCTCGGGATGAGGGGCTTGGGGTGTAGGAGGGTGCTCCAGGCTGGGACTGAGGGGTTCTGAGCTGGGGCAGGGGGTTGGGGCCAGGGAGGGTGTCAGGGGTGCAGGCTCCGGGCAGCGCTTACCTCAAGCAGCTCCCAGAAGCAGCGGCATGTCCCCCCTCCAGCTGCTACATGGAGACGTGGCCAGGAGGCTCTGCGTGCTGCCTGGTCCACAGGCACCAGCCCTGCAGCTCCCATTGCCTGTGGTTCACAGCCAATGGGAGATGCGGAGGCGGTGCTGGGGGGTGGGGGTAGCGTGCTGAGCCCCCTGGCTGCCCTACATGAAGGGCCAGAGGTGGGACATAATGGCTGATTCCCGGGAGCCACAGGGAGCCTTCCAACCCAGCTGCACAGCGACGCCAACCGGACAGTCAATGGCCTGGTGAGCAGTGCTGACTGTAGCCACCAGGATCCCTTTTCGACCAGATGTTCCGGTCAAAAACTGAACACCTGGTCACCCGAGCTGGGGCTTCCCCCGTCCCACCCACCCACCCGGTGCTTCTGCCGGGGATTGAACTCAGGGCACAGGGGCTTCCCCCGCCCCTCTCACCTGGCGATTCTGCTAGGACTCTGGGCTTTTGTTGCCCCGTGGCAGATTTCTGCTGGTGGTGGGGCACCCATTTTTCTGGGGCCCCCCCAATTGGCTGGGGCCCCTGGCATAGGCTCCAGAACGCCCATGGATAATAAGCCAGTGCCCATGGCTGACTCCCTCCCCTGCCCTATAGTCCCTATGGGGCCGACTCTGACTCCCACTCCACAGCCCCACCCTGAGGCCACCTCCATACCCCATCACACAGCCCCACGCAGAGCTGACTCCATCCCCCCCTCAGCACCTTGGCTGGCAACCCGTCCGCCTCCCACAGACCCCGAGGAGGAGCGCAGCGTGTGGAGCTGTGCAGGGCCCTGCGCTGGGGGTGGCTCACAGGTTCCAGCTCAGACTCCAACCTGAACACAGGTCACGCATGTGGGGCTGGAGGGAGCTCTGACTACTGCTCCCAGGGACCATTCCCAGCCCAAGGAGTGGGGGGGGGATTGGGTTAGAGAGGGGGTTGGGGGCACCAGCTCCCAGAGGCCCCTCCCCAGCTGCTCGCACAGGCACTGCCCCCCAGACTCCTCCCCCAAACCCCTCAGGCTCTCTGCCCCCCAGATCTGTGCTCTGGGTCTGCCTGCAGGGGTAGCAGCCTCCAGCGCCGGAGCCAGGGCTGGCAGGAGAGGGAGCCCCGTGGCGGAGGAGGCGGCTCAGAGACCCAGGAGTGGTGCCCCACACTGAGCAGGGCTGTGGAAACCACTGGGACAGCCAGTAACCTCAGTGTGGTGGGCAGGAGCCCTGGCACTGCCCTCCTGGAGACCAGCCTCCCCCTGGCATGGCCAGGGTGTCATTCCCCCCCACCCCGTGTCTGCAGGAACATGGGCATGGCTACGGCGCTGGGAACTCACCGGCCTGCCCGGCACACACCACGCTGGCCTCGGAGCCACGGCCACACAGCCTGGGACCCAGCCGACTCAGCTGGCACTCACTGATGAGAGACTCCTGGCCAGAGCAGCTCAAGCCCTCCAGCCAGACGTCACTGGCCATGGGGCCGAACTGAGCAACTCCCGGGGCCGATCGCGGCGTGCCGCAGCCCAGCTGCTTGCACACCACCCCCGCCTCTGGCAGGCCCCAGCCGGCGTCACACACGGCACCCCAGGTGTTGTTAATCAGCACCTCCACTCGCCCGGAGCAGGGGCTTGGGCCACTCGTCAGCCGCAGCCTCAGCTGGCCCTGATCTGAAACACAAAGCACAGGGCATGAGAGGCTGTTCCCAGCTGCCAGGTGCCTGGATACGCAGAACTGCATGCGGATGGGGTGTGTGTGTCTGCACAGAGCAGAGAGGAGCCATTTCTATATTACTCCATCCGTGTGTGTGCACGCACACTCACAAACACAAACACACACACTGCACCCCTACACTCAATGCCACACAAGCAGACACACACACACACAATTCCATGCACAACCTCCAAACATCCCTCTGCACACCCACATATTGCCTCAAACACACACACTGCCACATGCAGACGCACTGCTGCACATGTATGCAAATATTCATAGACTGTCCCGTGCCCACCCCTTCACACACTCACCTGCACAAACACTGCCACAAACAGGTACATAGACAATCACACACAAACCCAGAAACACACACACTCCAACACAACTAGGCTGACTCCCAGGGTTTAGCACCCTCTTCAGATCCCCCACCCCACTTCCAGCAGCACAGGTTCCTACCACCCTGTTTGTTACCTGAGCACACAACATTTGCATCTTCTCCGGGGTTACAGCCATGCTCTCCCCAAGGCTTAGCCTTGCATTCGGTGAGGGCAGCTTCTGCCCCTGTGCACTGAATCTCATCCAGCCACACACGGTCAGATCCTTGTCCAAAGTGAGCCCCACGTGGCGCTGATAACGCTGTCCCACAGCCCAGCTGCCTGCACACGACTTCAGCCTCGGACAAGCCCCAGCTGTCATCACACACAGTTCCCCACTGCTGGTTGTGAAGCACCTCGACTCTCCCAGCGCAGCGACTTGGGCCGTTCACCAGTCGGAGCGGAGCCACTTCTGAGATGCCTGAGCCTGCAAACACCCAAGGGAATAAACACTCAGGGAGGTTCCTGTGCGTCTGATCTCTAGTGACACAGGGAACGTAGCGCCTTGAGACACAGGACTGGCTGGAGAGGCAGATTGTGGAAATTGAAAGAAAGGAACAGGGCTGGCTCTGGCTTTTTTGCCGCCCCAAGCAAAAAAAAAAAAAACAACCTGCGGGGCGGCCAGGTGCAGGGGGACTCCCTGTGCTGCAGACGTGCCCCGGGCAGTGGGGGAGGGGTGAGGGAGGGAGTGGGGGGAGAGAGAGAAGGGGGGTGGCCAGGGCTTCCTTCAGCAGGGCGCTCGCCACGCGGCCCCTCCCAGCACACCGCCTGCCGGGAGGGCTCCGCGCTGCTGCAGTCCTCAGGCAGGGAAGGATGCGGGCTGCCCTGCCGGGCTTGCTACAGACCTGGTACCAGCTGGGTCAGACGGAGTGTGCAGCCCGCTCCCAGCAGGGCGCTCCCCTCCTCTGTGCCGCTGCCCCCTACAGGGCGGCTGGAGCGGCGAACCAAAAAGAAAAAAACCTGCGGGGTGGCCGAAGCGGCTAAGCAAAACAAGGATTGGACGGAATGCCGCCCCTTAGAATCTGCCACCCCAAGCACGAGCTTGCTCAGCTGGTGCCTGGAACCGGCCCTGGCAAGGAAACAGCCAGCTGTTGCTTGTTTCTACTGTGTTCAGGGAAACAGGAATTTGTAAATAAACCAGATTGCACCAAAGAAATGCTTGACTTGTGTAATCAATTTCTCCTCTTCCCAGAAACACCCATCATGGCCCCACTATGGCTAATGCAAGAATCAGGCAAGACTCCTCATTTAGGAAGAGCAGAGTGGGCACACGGCAGTGAGGGCTGACACCCTGACTTGCTTTACAGTTAGTGAGCACTCAACAGTGTCGGGCATGGAAAGTGTAGGGAACACTGTTCCCATTGAGCCATGGCAAGAGGGCAGAGTTGCCAACTTTCTAATCACACAAAACTGAACACCCCTTCCCCCTTCCCCAAGGCTCCACCCCTGCCTGCCCCTTCTCCAAGGCCCTGCCCCTGCTCGCTCCATCACCCCTCCCTCTGTCACTCACTCTCTCCCACCCTCACTCACTTTCACTCGGATGAGGCAGGGGGTTGGAGTGCAGGAGGGGAGTAAGCGATCTGGCTCGGAGTGTGAATTCTGGGGTGGGACAGGGATGAGGGGTTTGGGATGTGGGAGAGGGCTCTGGAATGTGGCAGGGGGTTGTGGTGTGTGTGGGGGTGAGGGTTCTGAGCTTGGGGTGTGGGCTCTAGGTGGGGGCAGAAACGAGGGGTTCAGGGTGCAGGAGAGAGCTCTGGGCTGGGGCAGAGGGTTGGGGTCCAGGAAGGGCTCCAGCTGGGGGTGCAGGCTCTGGGGTGCGGATGGGGATGAGGGGTTTGTGGTGTAGGAGGGGGCTCTGGCCTGGGGACAAGGGGCTGCGGGGGGTGCAGGTTCCAGGAGGGAATTTGGATGAAGGGGGGGACTCCAGGTTTGAGCAGGGGGGGTGGGTCCAGCAGGGAATTCAGGGTGTGGGGTCCCGGCAGCGCTTACTGCGGCTCCCAAGAAGCACCCACCAGATCTCTGGGGCCCCTAGGTGCATAGGCAGACAGGAAGGCTCCACACACTGGCCTCGCACCCACAGGACCCACTACCGCCGTTCCCATTGGTTGCAGTTCCTGGCCAATGGGAGCTGCGGAGCCGGCACTCATGGCGGGGGCAGCGCGCAGAGCCTTCCTGTCTGCCTATGTGCCTAGATGCCGCAGGGACCTGGCAGCCGCTTCCAGGAGCTATATGGATCCTGGGTAGGCTGGCAGGGAGCCAGCCTTAGCCCTGAGCCCCCACTGCACCACTTACCAGAATTTAATGGCCTGGTGGTCAGTGCCGATCGGAGCTACCAGGGTCCCTTTTCAACCGGGTGTTCCAGTCAAAAGGCAGACACTTGGCAACTTTACAAGAGGCGGTACCGCTGGGGTCTGCTACACCCACCAAATCAAAGACCAGCGTGAACAGCACTTTAAACACCTGCTGCAATGTGTAGGAAGACACTCTGTGTTGCTCTGCGGGATCAGTCTATGGGAGCCTGCAGCGGTCTCCTGAGAAAAACATCCCTGGAGTTTCTAAGAATGATCAGTGACAATTTTCTAACACAAGTATGGCTCCTGACTCAGGCTGGGCCTACAGGAGGCTGACGGATAAAGGAGAATTTATCACACAATTACAAATGGGAAGGTGCAGAGGTGCAAGTGATCCAGACCTCAGTGCACTGGCTCTGTGCAAACACAAAACTGCCCTGACAGCGGTGATGGGTTGTACCAGATGTTTGCTGCCCCCTGCTGGAGGCCCCAGCACTTCAGCACACCCTGCCTTAACAGGCTGCCCTGCTGGAAGGGAAGCGCAGTGAGTTCAGACCTCTAGGGATTGCCTCGAGTAGTCTCCCACAATCAGCTGAAGACAGAATCAGCCGGAGTTGGTCCCTCGGCACCTAGAAGCATGGGGAGCAGACAGAGATCAGGGGCCAGCAGGCCAGATGAAAAGGCCTGGCTCCTTCTAGCGACCCATTCTGGTGAAGCTGGGAGGGCCAGTGGGCCAGTTTCCCAAAGCTGAAAACAATTATGAGCAAAATTGATTGAGAGGAAAGGTTTAAACCCAAACTGTGAACAATAATTGGGAAATGTTTAGGATGCCCAATAACCCCGACAACTCCACAATCACAGACGATGGATTTGTTGGTTAAAAAAATATCCTGGTTAAGAAGGGAAGTAATGCAGCAACAAATAATAATAATGATTCATAGACTCAGAGACTTTAAGGTCAGAAGGGACCATTATGATCATCTAGTCTGAACTCCTGCACAACACAGGCCACAGAATCTCACGCACCCACTCCTGTAACAAATCCCTAACCTATGCCTGAGTTATTGAAGTCCTCAAATACTGGTTTAAAGACCTCAAGGTGCAGAGAATCCTCCAGCAAGTGACCCATGCCCCATGCTGCAGAGGAAGGCGAAAAACCGCCAGGGTCTCTGCCAATCTGCCCTGGAGGAAAATTCTAATTAAAACAATATCTAACAAATAGAAAATGAGGGAAGCTGAAAATGATGTCTATAAATTAGCAGTTAGGAAATGCAGACAGTTGATAAGGGAACCTAAAGTATCACTGTTTGTAATCTATTACCAGTGCACTTCAATATGGTTATGCTGGGGCTGGTGGGGGTTTTAGTGTTAGTTTGGATAATTCAGAGCAACCACTAGGGGCACAGAGCAAAGACATAAGAGTCTGTCTGTGTAAACAGGAACAGAAGACAGCCCTGGGTTTCTGTCATCTCTACAGGGTGTGAGGGGTGGGATTGAAGAAGAGCCCAACAGATCACAGAGCACCCCGTCAGAAAGGGGAAAGGGGGAAAAGAAAACAGACCAGCTGGCTCTCCAAACCAGCCAGAACAGCCAAAAGCTGTAGAGCTAGTAGCCGAGCAGATGGAGAAGAGCCTTAAATGCACAGAGGGCCCAGAAAGATGGGCTGTGGTGAGTCCAGGCTGCAGCAGGGAGTGAGGGTGGGTGAGTATGGTGCGCTACTGAGGGCGCTACTGTTTGAAACCATTCCCACATGTTAAGAAGGTTAATAAAGCCAAAAGACTGTGGCTTACCATGGCTGCCTGCAAGCCGAAATCTGTTGCCAGGCACTGCGTGAGTGATCTCTCACACCAAACCGGCAGGCCCTCAATATAAGAGGAAAAATGCGACCTTGTAACGAAAGCACATGTGCTGTGTAATGTGAACAGCAAAATTTAATGTGAAAGAATGTACCCATTGTTCTCTAAAATGTGTCTTTTTTAACCACCTCTCCCTTCTCCACCAGCTGCAAATGTTTCTCCTTCACAGACGCTAGTGAAGATTAGAAGGAGAAAACGGACTCGGGATGATATGTTCTCGGAGCTCCAGATGTCCTCTCACGCTGAAAGAGCACAGCAGAATGCGTGGAGGCAGTCAATGTCAGACTACAGAAAAGCAAAGTATGAACGAGAGGAGAGGTGGCGGGCTGAATCGCGGGATGAACAGAGCAAGTGGCGGGCTGAAGATGATCATAGAATATCAGAGTTGGAAGGGACCTCAAGAGGTCATCTAGTCCAACCCCCTGCTCAAAGCAGGACCAATTCCCAGCTAAATCATCCCAGCCAGGGCTTTGTCAAGCCGGGCCTTAAAAACCTCCAAGGAAGGAGACTCCACCACCTCCCTAGGTAACCCATTCCAGTGTTTCACCACCCTCCTAGTGAAATAGTTTTTCCTGATATCC